TAAAATCTGGGCCAAGAATGGTGATACACGTCCTTAATCCCAGCAGAGGCAGTTAGATCTCTGATGAGATTGAGGCCAGCCTGGTTTACATAGTGAGTCCTAGAGGCCATCCGGGCTAGAGAGAGAACTTCTCTCAAAACACAAAAAACCCAAAACAGTAAAATTTCCTCCCCTCCAAAAACACAGAGCAAAGAAGTGGAGAACTCTGTATTTAGAGAAATTAAGAGACTCTCAACTTCAACATTTAGAATTTAGTTGGATTCTCCCCAAAAACAAACTGTAAAATTATAAACATATTACTTGCATTTTAAATATTTTATGACATTTAAAGAAATGTGAACCAACATAAAAGATATAGATGAAATAAACTGATACAGTCAAACGGCTGATTCATGAACTCTCATATTATTGAGCTCTTATTTTTATGTACCTATCAATAAAGCATCATAATCTGGAAACAGCTGATTTCATAAGTCTCTTTTCTTTACCTTAGAACTGATTAAGACTTTGTAAATATGCCATTAGAATAGCTCCCTTTTCAGTGAAAATACATAAAACAATTCCTATCAAAACAACAAAAAATGGGGTCCAGGACATACCTCAAGGATGGATCCCTTAACCTAGCATGAACCAGGCTCTGTTCCCAGCACCACAAACAAAAAGCAGCATTTTGTCAAAACATGTGAAGCCCACATAAAATAGTACCTTCAGTACACATTACCTACTTACTGACTCTCTGAACTTGGATTTGGTAGAAATTAGAGGGATGACTAAAACAAATAGCTCCTTGTTGGTTGTAAGAAAGGTTAACGGGGGCTGGAGAGATGGTTCAATGGTTATGAGCACTGGCTGCTCTTGCAGAGGCCCTGGGTTTGATTCCCAGCACCTACTTGGTGGCTAACAACCATCCTAACTCCAGTTCCAGGGGATCTGACGCCTTCTTCTGGCCTCTGCAGGCATTGTATAACATGGGTACAACTTACATACATGCAGGCAATACACCCATGCACATAAAATAAAAATATAAATAGTTTTTAAAAGAAAGGTTAACAAACTTTTAACAATAAGATTCATTCCTATTCCTCTTATCTTGGATGATGAATCAAGAACATAAATTTGATTCGTTTTGAAAAGTGTCTTCTCATTGACACCAGCCATGCCAAGCTGTTAATTCAGGCTCAGTTCTAACAAACTGAAGGACTCATGTTATATCCCCAGACACACCATAAGGAGACATAAGGAGAGGGAAATCAATCAGGTGGTTAGATCCTTCTCAGATCCTTTCTCCTAATACTCAGGAATTATTCTGATGTGTCATTAGAGGATCTCCCTCTTAAAATTTGCTAAACTTTCTTTTTCAGGGAGGAGGGAATTTGTGCTAGTTGTTCTATCTGGAACTCAAAACAGAAACCTCTACTACTGCTCTCTCTTCCTTGTTGTTCTCATAGTTCTAATTCTGAAACCCCCACCTTTTCTATTTAGAGTCATAAGATTGATAGTTTTCATAGTTTGTAGCTCAAGTAATTTAAAATATTATACAAATTTTCTTCCTATTCAAATTCTACATTTTAGTAATGTGGGCTGCCATAACTTATAAATGTGTTGACAGTTCTTAAACTAACAATGAGGATGATAGAGGGTCTGGAAAGAATCCGTAATGGCAAACTATTGAGCTAAGAGAAATCCTGGGAGAGGACTGAACGGAAAAACCACTCTTTTCACATTACGTAGCGTATACAAAATGTTTCCTGTTTGCTATTGATGTGCCCCAGGAGGAAGAATAAAGACAAACAGATCAAATATGATAACATTTCTCACAACTTTCTAACAGAATTGTTCTAAAATTAAAAAGCTTTGCTATTTGAGATAATAAGTTTTCTATCACTTATATGTCAAAGCAAATCAAAAGAGTAGTGTAAGATGCAAACCGTGAAAAAAACTTGAAAGCTGATTCTAATTTTCAGCTTATAACTTCATTTATTACATCCAGCATAAGAACTTATTTCAGCAATTTTTAAAACTTTTATTTATTTTATGTGTACGAGTGTTTTGCCTGTGTATCGAAGTGTACCATCTGTGTGCAATGCCATGGAGGCCAGAAAGGGGCATTGACTCTCTTGGAATTGGAGTTACAGACAGCTGTTAGTTGCCAGGTGGATGCTGGGAACCAAACCCAGGTACTCTGAAAGAGTATCAAATGCTCTTAATTGCAGGGCCACTTCTCCAGCCCCAGGAAACAAGTGTTAAAAGATGTCAAGTTTTATATTTCATTTTAAGTTATGCCCACACTTATTCATTTAGTCAATATCTGAAGATAAACCATATCACCATTACCAGTCTTAGGTCTGAAGCAATGGTAAACTGGCCAACCCCTTCCTCAGAGCACTGAGGGAGTGGAACAGCAAAGAAATGAAGTGTGGTAAAGGTAAGTTTGCCCTATGTAACTTAAGTCAAATTATGTTCTTTATTCTTTCAATTCTAAGCCACCAAATTCTACTGTGCATTTCATGTTACAGCTCGTCTCTATTTGTACTGGACACATTTTAAATATTCAAGTTACTGCTACTTGCTACTGTATCGACTAGAAACCATGTTTTTCTACTTACATCATAATCTCAATTTAGATACTAAATTTTCTTAGGAATACCTGACTTTTTTAGAATTAGATTTATCAAGGTCATATTTAGATTTCAAAGAATTTACAATTGAGAAGTAAATCATACATACAAGTGGTTACAAACATTCAATAATGTAATCTGATTAACTGATTCAAGCATCTGTTTTTAAATTTAAATAATACTGCTCCTTACTGCATTATTCTCAATTCAAAATCTCAATAGCTATAAGCAGCTAGTGGTTACTGTACTGGACCATGGAAAACTGCTCCCAGGAAGTGAACAGGAAGCATACAAATTAAACTTTTTGCCTCCCTTCTTTTTCTTTTTCATTTTTTGGTAAATGCTCCTAGGACAAGTGAAAAAAACTTTTTTTTAATCTATAAATTATAAAAGATTTCCCAGAAACTAAAACTGTCCTTTGTGTCAAAATAAGCAGTAGTGGGGATGGGGAGATAGCTCAATAGTTAAAGCACTTGCCAGGCAAGAAACAGAACTCGAATTGGGTAGGGAATTTGTATCCCAGGAAGCCATGCAAACACCAGGTGAAATGGTGGCTGCCTGTAATTCCAGTCTCAAAAGGCTAAGGCAGGGGATCCCCAGAGAAAGCTGGCTGGGTAGACGACTTGGTGTCCTTGAGACTAGCAGTGTCCTTGAGCTCTGGATTTGACTGGGATTAAGGAAAAGGTAGAAGAGCAATCAAGATCCACATCAATCTTGCTGCACAAACTTGCATGTATACCCACACACAGTTTAGTGCTCCCCCCATCCACACACATCTCCATGCATGTTACACACAGATATATATGAAAAGGAAAAAATGTCCCAAGTTTCTTAATTCTAAACTGGATAGATCTAACTCTAACTGAGAAAAGACTCTTGATTCTCAACCATCCTCCATGTTACTACCCCAGTTAGAAACTTCACAATCTAGTTACTATTAAATCCTGATTAGCAAAGTATTACCTTTTATTAACTTGTTCATCCCTTTGCACACTGCCCTCATCTGTGGCAATCTCAACACTGACACACATCTTTGGCTACTTTACTTCCTTTTGAGTATGCAATCACCATGTAACCACCATTCAGACTGAGATGCAGAGCATGTCTAATGCTCTATCAGGAGGTAACATTCCCTCCTGCCTCTTTACCACCCTTCATCCAGGAACCCTGAGTCTACAGATTTCAGTTAATTTTGCTCTTCAGACATCTTGTCTGGTCCTTGTATTGCACACATTATCTATGAGATTCACTCATTGTATTGCTTATATCATTAGTTATTTCTTTTTTGTTACTGTATTACTTAAATTTTATAACTACTCCAAAATTTACCCATCTATTTTCCTGCTGATAGTCATTCATCGAGTCATTTTAAGTTTGGAGCTACTTTAAATAAAGCTGGAATTAAGATTAGAAATACTGGCTTAAATATTAAAATAAATGTTCAATATATATTTCTTTCCCTTCATCATTTTGATGTCATACTAGAAATGGATGTTCTATGTAACACACACAATGGAATTAGACACATTCAAAATCAGGACATTTTAAACAAGAGACATTCCATGTATACTTTCACTCATTATACATGTTAAGTGCATGCACAATGTATTCATACTACCTAAATAACTACAAACTTTAACCAAATGGATAATAAAATTTCATAGCATTTATTATCACATTTTAGCATCTGCTCTATATTTTCAAATACCATCAAGAAGTGATTAATCAGACAAAATAATAGTTGTCACCCTATCAACATTCCAAGACAAAGCATATAAAATGGCATAATCTTAAAATTTTTATCTGAAAGCCTTTTTAAAAAAGTTTATCAGTGTTAATTTCGCTACTTAAACAAGTTTATGAAATTTGATTAATACAATTTTTATTACTTTATAAAATCAGCACCAACTTATTTCCCTAACATTAATATCGCTAATGTCAAGTCAAGATAGTGCTTGTCAGGTAGAACTGAGAAATGACTGTTAATTTTCCTGAATGTGTTAAATAAGTGCTCTATCTCCTTTGTGTATGAGAAAAAATTCCAATGAATCAAATGTAAAATGTTTTACGAAATTATAAAAGCAATTAATGTTATCTCCACCTTTGCCATAATGCTCCCTTTCCTTAAACATAAAAAACCATATACACTAGTCATTTATTGTCGATGATCCAGAACTTTATAATGTAAAAGCACAGTGACAAACAGTATTAAAGTTACTACCCAGATTCATTCGATAATCGGATGTATGCATGGACAGTGAACCTGGACCTTCGAAAAGCTGCTTATGTGCAAAGAACACTATTGTAGTTTATACATACCATAAAGTCATAGACACCCAAGTAAACAGAAGAAGAATGAAATCTTTGTATCGCTTTCCTTACCTCCCATTCTCTGGCTGATGCTTCATTAGCAGAATCTTCATTTGTTTCTGACTCTTCAATCTTTTTGACCACTATAAATCCAGGTTCTCTGGTGTATTCACCAGTATCTTCTGCGTATATTTCTGGACTCCACTGAATGAAGAATGCATACAAGTGGTCTGTCCTGTTAGAACAAGTGACTATTAATAGACCTAAACTTGATGTTAATAAAAATTGCAAAACTATTTGTGAAGTATCTTGATAAAATGTGAAGACTTTCAAAATATACTAGGCTTTTAAAAACTATTTTATTTATTGTTTTTATTTTATGTGTATGAGTGTACTGCCTGCATGTATGTAAGTGCGCCTGTGTCCTGCAATACCTGCAGAGGTCAGAAGAGAGCTTCAGATTCTCCTGGAACTGGAGCTACAGACGGTTGTCAGACAGTTGTTAGCTGCCATGTGGGTGCTTTGCAGGAGGAGTTAGTGCTCTTAACCACAGAGCCATCTCTCCAGCCCCAACACTAGGCTTTATAAAAAGATACAGCCCATTTTCCTTAAAAAATTGACTTGGCTTTATTTTTCCCAAATGGTTCTTAAAAAACTATATTAAGACTTTGCTTGGAAGACTCTTCACTATACTAAATGTAGTACAATAATTTTCCTCAAGACAGTAGTGGTATGAACGGAAATTTAATGTACAACTTTCTAAAAGACAACAAGAATACACAGTGAATTCTTGGTTCAGGGATAGATGATGTAATGTTTTAAATATCTGGTTTACTTTTCTAATATTTTGCTAACTACAGTAAGAATGTTAGTTGCTATAATTTACAATAAATATATTAAAGATCAAATACACATTTAAGATACCTATGTCTATTGGCTTTAATTAGCATAAATAATTAAAATTGAAACTCTCAGCTAACATATAACAAGCAACAGTACAGATTCTAGGAATGATATGTCCAATCTTGTGATCTAAAAACGTGTTACTCCTTAAATGCCACCAGACACGTTAAAGGGTATTCAGTTTTATCTTTCAGGCAGTTAATCTCTATCAACAATTCCCATAAATTTTCCATCTACAGTAAAGTTCAGAATCACAGTAACACTAAGTTTAATGAACATTATTCATGGTACAATTTGATTTATTAATTGCGATGAAGATTCTCAGGTGGGTAGTAAGGTAGTGGGGTAGTATTGCTTTCAATCAAGAGGAATGGAGATATTTTCTCTCAACTAAGGCTAGAACACTTAAGTTTGGAACCAAGAACAACATTAAAACAAAATTCCACTGGGTGTGGTAGCCCAAACCTTTAATCCCAGAATTCAGGAGGCAGAAGCAGGCAAATTTCTGTGAGATGAAAGCTAGCTTGGTCTACACAGGGAGTTCCAGGCCAGCAGGGAGGTACAGGGAGACCCTGTCTCAAAAGAACAAAAAAGAAATAATTCCATGTAAAAGTTAAACAAGAATAATGAGAAAAAACTAAATTTTGTTAGGTTACAGCTAAATTTTTCATCATGATTATTTTAATGTCACAGGTCTATTTGAATGGCTCTGCTTCAAGTGCTGAATTATGCAAATCAAATAATTTTAATTGCTAAAATCACATTTTGTTGAAGGCACACATATTGTGTGGTATAGCTGGTAGAAGAGAGAGAACTTATCATTATAGCCTTGAAAGCAAATAATTTTCAAAGCAAAATATATAGGCTTTCCAATACGACCTCTTCAACTTCTACCTCACCCCTCACTAATAGTGTCTATGAACCCTAAGGCCAGCATGCATTACAGATTACCTGTCTTCTGCTTCTACTAAAGTGCTTTTTTAAATTTTCAAAATAGGAGACTACACTAATTCATTTAGAATTTTAGGAGTACATTTTTAAAAGTATAAACACTCTGGGCTGCTCAAGGTTGGTGTCAAACCAGGGAATAATTCTAAGACTAGATTAAAAAGTCCTTTTGTGTATCAGGATACTTCTAATTCATTGAGAAACACAGAACTGAAGGAGTTTTCAATTCAATGGAGTACTTCACTGATAAACACTAAACTTAATTGTGATAAAAGATGATTAAGTATGGAAGATTACTGAAACATTTACAGAACTGAGATTATTATAATGAAATATTACTGAGTCTAATATAAACAAAGCTTCTGAGTAATTAAAAAAATTAAAATTAGCAAGGTAGAGGCATTTCTGAAATCTATCTCATCCTATCAGCGAACAGCATTTCTTAGTGGACATAAGGACTACTGTGATGCCGGACTGTTTTCTGCTAGATGCATCAAGCTGAAGTTGCCAGGTTGTTAGCTTCCAAGCTGGGAAAAACCTGAAACTCTTGACCATCTTGTCATCATAGTTTAAAAAATGAGTGTAATTTCATATATATACACAGAATTAAAGAATAACTATATAAAATAAAAAACAAGCTTAAAGCTAAAAAGTTATGATACAGTATTTAACTAAGAAGGTGTATCTGAGAGTTTTTGAAATACATAATGAAAGATGGAAAACTATCAAGATGTTTCGATTCTACCGGACCTACACTACTTAGAATACCAATTTAACAGTTTAAAGTCAAAATGTTAATTTTTTGTTTGTTTGTTTTTGGTCTGTTTGAGACAGGGTCTCCCTGTAGCCACAGCTGGCCTGTAACTCGCTATGTAGACCAGGCTGGCCTTGATCTCACAAAGATCCTCCTGACTTTGCCTCTCCAGTGCTGGGATTAAAGGTGTGCAATACCATGCCCTGGTGCAAAGTGTTAATTTTTACAGTACAGTGACAACAGCTTTTATGATTTTAATGAAGAACAAACATTTTAATTTTATAGGGTAATAGAGAAACAGCCTGAAGACTCCCAAATTCTTTCAGTAACTAATTTAGTGTCATGAATATATAAGGTATTATGTTTGAGAATATTCAAATAAAGAATTATGCATCATTTTATTCACAGAAGGACCATATCAGTTAATATTATGGTTAATCTTCATGGTCTAAGATATATTAAGTGCTTTTTCTTCTAATAAAGCTTCATTCATGTTCTCATTTTTCCCAAATAAACTATAAACAAACAATTTTATAAAAAGTAGACTCTCAAACAGGGGTAGATTTCAAATAGACATAATACTAACATCTTTATTTATTTAGCTATGTACTTATGTCTTGCCATGCAACGCAGGTTGGCTTAAACTCACTTGAACTTTGATTCTCCTGCCTCTGTATCCTCAGTACTAGAATTGCAGGTGTGCCACCATGCCTACCTAATAGTAGCTTTTAATCAGAAAACATACTTTTAAAGAATATTTTGCCCCTGGTGTTGTAAAAAAAAAATCTTGATTTATGAAATATTCATGCTGTGAAGCTTTTGTTTTGTTTTACCTTTCTTGTGGCACTGCAAACCAGTATTCATGTTTCTTATCTCTCTGCGCATACTGCTGCATGGTAGCACTTGCTTGAGATACAAATGTTTTCCTCATAGGTTTTCCAACTCTGAGACATAAGAATTTATGTAATTGATGCTTTCTCTTTTCCTTTAAAAGTGAAGAGCCTAGAAGTGAGATGCACAGAGTGTCTCTTTAGTTCTCAAAGCTCACGATGAATTTAGATTCAATAATTTTATCTCCTAACTTCTAATTATTAAATAAAAACATATTTTATTGGTACTTAGGTGAATTGACTTAAGTATCTTATATATATTTTCCCATGGAAGATATAGTCCACGAAACCGCAAGACCAAATGAAAGAGCCAAGTAAATGAAATCACATCTAAGGCTATTGGGAAATAAAGTAAAGGCTGTGGAGACTTTTCAATAACTTGTTAATAATAGATACACTGACTTGCATATACTTGTAAAATTTTCTGCATATTCTGTATTACTCTTTAGAATCATATGAAAAAGTATGCAGAATTTTTCAATGCATACTTTAATATGGCTATAAAAGTAAAAAAATTAGTGAAATTTCTAGCTTTTACAAGCACGTAAGGGTGTAATGAATCAACAGTGTATTACTAGCTGCAGTTCCATGTTTGAATAGTTAATTATATCTAAATTATCTCTAACTTTTCTAACAAGAGGTATCAGTTATTTGGAGTCTGAAAAATATAGCTGAGTTCAGGAACCTGGACACTGATTAGTTTGCTTAGGCAGCACCCTGTAGAGATGGTCACAGTCCTGGAGTGTCCTAGTGTTAGTCATGTCCCACACCCCCATGCAGTAGTGTGCAAAGCACACAATTTTTTTGAGCCACAGCATTCATGCCTTGTTAAAAAGAGGACTGTATGCCATGCTTTCCATAACTCATTCTATATTTGAATATTACTACAATGCTTTATTGCTTTATATTATAGTTATAAATTTCAAAAAGCTTTACCATTTCCCCATTACACAGTATCATTATTAAAAACTAGTTACTTAGAGCTAATATTCATTCCATAAAATAAAGAAGAAAGCAATGGCAATGATTCAGAGAAACCTCCTAAAAATACCTATAAATTTTTCTTCTTTTATTGGTTACAACGTATCAAATATTAATTCTTATAACCTATTAAAATAACCTACCATGTTATTTATTTGACCAGAAATTTATGAATTTTTATCTAAGGTTTAAAAAATAACCCAAATATACAAAGATACTCCAATAAAGATATTCACACCAGTTTTATTTATATCAGAGAGTAAGTGCTTAACAAGACAAAGAGTTAATAAGAACACAGAAATGGTTTATTAAATCGTAAGACCAATGAAACAGCGCTTTCAAAGAACTATAATGACCATACGAAAGTGTTCATGGCATGCATGTTAAGTGAAAAGTAGGAAATAACACCACATATAGTATAAGAGTAACATTCTGATTTTATATTAAAATTGATATGTATAAACAGAAAGAAATATAAAAATCAAAATAAAAAAAACACCTTCCAAAGATCTGTAAGAATGTTAAAACTGACTGATTGTCGCTGACTGATAAATTTCAAGTAACTTTTATAAACTGTACAGAAATTTCCTACATTTGACTAATGTTCCCTATTAATGTACATTGTTCTGAATAAAGAATCTATAGAAAAACAACTTTTACAGAATTTCATTTGAGTAAACGCATTCTTTAAACAATAATGTGTATAATCCTTGGGTTTTCAAGGCATGTCAGCTAATGTAAATAAAATTCAATATTCTGAAAACTGAGAGCTGAGTGTGGCAGCACACACTTGTAATGCCAGTGTGGGAGGTAGATGAAGATGCAAGGCCTGCCTAGGATACATGAGACGCTGCCTCAACAACATTAAAAAAAAAGTGGCTTTTCTATTTTTAAAGGTTTTTGAAACTGGTTCTTGCTACGCACAGCAGGTTGGTCTCAAACTTGAGAAGATCTTAGAGGAGTGGGCCTCTACCTCCAGGTGTTGGAATTACAGGCAATTAAAAGCATGTGTGGCATGCTAGGCTAAGCCAGACCTTTATGAATTCCTAGGAGGAATACAAAATGGTATAGCCACTACAGAAAACAAGTGGATCCTCGAAAACTTCAGCCAAGTTATGATATGATCTGGCAATGCCGCTTTTTGTAATTATGCCAAATCCTAAAAGGAGTACAAATAGGTATTTGTACCCAAATGTTTGATGCAGCATTAGTCACAATATTAGACACTGCTGAACTTGCTTCGCATCATCCAATTGAGGAGACCCTGATACTGCTGGCAATGAATGCATAAACAAAGTGGCACATGCACACAATCAGCATTAATTCTTCAGCCTTACATGAATGGTAAAGGCACTATGCGAAGTGAATTAAGCAACAGAAAAACAGTGTATGTCCATTTATAGGAACTGCCGGAGTAAAGTCAGACAATACAAAGGTGATGACCAGGAAAGGGGAAGACTGTAGCTTATTGCTTAGTAAGTACAGAATTTTGGTGTAGGAAGATGGTAGAAGTTCTAAAGATGGATGTTAGTTGTTGGTTGTACAAGAACATGAACATACCTAATGCAATGAACTGTAGATTTGCAGGGTATGGTGGCACATGCCTTTAATCCCAGCACTTAGGAGGCAGAGCCAGGGATCTCTGTGAGTTCAAGGCCAGTCTGGTCTACATAGTGAGTTCCAGGACAGCTGGGGCTACAGAGAGACCCTGTCTCAAAAAGACCAAAAAAAAAAAAAAAAAAAAAAGGTTAAAGTGGTAACTTTACATTATGTTAACTTTATCACAAAAAGCCAAAATGGTGAATTTTATCTTGTGCACAATAAAAACTTTTGAATTAAATAAAATTCATATGTAAATTCAATCAATATATGATCAATATTTCAAGAGAACTGAAAAATATTTGTTATAGCTACTTAGCTCATAATATATTAAGCAGACAGACAATATAAGACTATTTCTACAATTTTCATAGTGCCAAAAACAGAACTAAAAGAGAAAGTAGGGGGCTAAAGATATAGCTCAGGGGTTAAGAGAACTGGCTGCTCTTGCAGAGGACCAGGGTTCCATTCTCAGAACCACATGGTGGTTGACAACCATCTGTTTCTCCAGTTTCAGGAGAATCCAACACCTTCTCCTGACCTCCACTGGGCACTGCACGACATGGGTGTACTTAGTCACCTGAAGGCAATACCATCATACACATAAAAATAATAAATAAAATAATTTTCTTTTAAAAAGAAAGTGGTATTTTTAATCCAAGTGCTTGTTTTTAAAAGAAGGCATCTAGCCAGAAAATGATAGAATTTCTAGATTCTGAAAAGAATTCTAGAAAGATTTTTTATGTCCAACTGTATTTTCTTTTTGGTCTTTTTGAGACAGGGTCTCCCTGTAGCCCCAGCTGTGCTGGAACTCACTATGTAGACCAGGCTAGCAATGATGGGATTAAAACTCTGGCAATGATGAATTACAATTAAAATCATAATTATGTATGCAATGATAAAAGACAGCCAGAACTAAAAAATGGAGTAATAAAAAATATTAAACAGCTTGGGTACATGTTCATAAAACCAACTTTAAATAAAATGCAGTGTGTCAGGAGTACTTAAACATATCAAAAAATGTTCATTGTGTGTGGATATAGCTGTTGGATGAGAAAAGAAGCATTCACTGTATATACATCTCCCCAGAGGACTGTCAGTCAAGGACCAGCTGATTGTCTTTCAGTCTGGGGGTCAGTGAGTGGGGAAAAGAGGGAAGCAACACGTGGTCACACGAACTAACTTTCTATGTCCTTACACTTACCATCTACATGTCCATCAGCACGTGCAATTTTATGCTTAATTTCTTTTTGTGATACCTGCTGAATATTATCCCTTTGCTGTTTAGCCTGTTGCATAGAATGAGTTTTCCAAAGTTTACGTAGCTCTTCTACTTCTGTCTCTGAGTCCTGTTTTTGTTCCTTCCCTTGTTTGCCCTTGTTAACAGTTTGCTTTTCTTTAAATTCTACTGTTTCTCCAGAAGATTTTTCTTTTCCACTTCCAACTTGTAGTAAATTTTCAAGGTGAAAAGAATCCTGGTCAGTATGACTTTTTACATTTGTACTCTGTTCTTTAGGGTCTGAGATTTCTTGACGGTTGTCTGTCACCTTAGCTCCTTCTTTAGCAGCTATATCAAGATTACTTAAATCAGTTTCATGAGATAAAGCCCCAACTTCATTGGAAGAATGTACAGTGTTGGATTTTAAGTGGTCAGGCATATCTGTCGACTCTGGTTTGGCTGTCGAAGACTCTACTTCAATCTGAGTGACAGTTTGCACAGATTCTGATGATGCACCAGATGATTTACCCTGCCGCAGCTCATCTGAAGAGATCATCTCCTCCCGGATGGGAGAGAGTTCTGACTCTGTGAAGACGTCCTCAGAGAGAGACTCCTCGGTGCTCCTGGGAGCAGTGCTGGCACTATCATTACCTGTATCATGGTTTCTCGAGTCTATTTCCTCGGGATTAACTCCTGTCACTTTCTTTGAATGGCAGAAGTCCCTTCCTGACAACTGATCTATTTCTCTGTTATTAAACAAAATAAGAAGTATTAGACATTAAAAATTATTGCATTTTCCACAACTGAATATTGAAGTAATATCACAGAAGAGGCTTTTAAAAAAAGATAAAACTACAGCTCTTACAAGAACATAAAAATGCTGTTCTCACATAGACCAAGTAATCACATCAAGATTTTAGTAACTGCTTATTTTTTGGGAAAAATCAATGTAAGATATCCTTGCAAGTAATCTCTAAAAAAAATTGATGACAAAAATTCTTGATGAAATTATAATATTAAACTATAACTTAGTGTTAGAATATGAACATAAAGTTTCAATTAAAATTTAAATCTATTAAGTAATTTACTAATTTAACACACACCTATGCAATGTTTATTTATATGCAGAGACATTAAACAAAAATAGATGATTAGATTGCAAGGGATAAAACAGAACCAAGACCAGGCATCTGAAGGAAATCCTTATGCTAGCAACTCATAACAACAGTGCTAAGAGAACTTGTTCAGTTAGAGAACTTAGATGTTAAATAGTGAATGTTTCATAAGTAAGTCTACATTTCCATCATTAATGGTATTTGATTAGGCAAGCACCCATGTTCACAGTGCTAGAAATAAGCAGTGTAAGTATCTCTTTATCATTAGATAAGTCAGTAAATTAGAATGATAATTACAATTACTTTGTGACAAATGTAAAATACTTGGTGTTGGTGAAAAAGCATTAATATTCATACATATATTGAAAACAATAAAAATGTGCTAAATAGAGAAAGACCAGAAAGGAAATCAACATAAAATAACTGGTTTTCTATGGTAAGTAAAGCTGAATAAAGTTTTATTCAGTCTTCCTGTGGCTTCCCAATTTTCTTCAACAAAATTTTTAATGTTATGTAAAATTTATTTTAGAGACAGCCGAAGTCTAATTCCTATTTGTCTGCCTCTGTACTAGATTCAGTTTTTAAGAAACAAAAGTATCTAATTTGTGATATTTAACATGCAACAGTGTCATCTACTGGTAATTCATTTAAACTGCACCAATAAGGTCATGGAACTGGGTATGAAGGTTGAGAAACTTTATCTGTATACTTAGCAGAATCCTAAGATTGTTTTCAAAAAATAAAGATAAAAGCCTAACAGAATATATATTTAGGTAATTGCTATATTAGAGTTAATATGCTGAAAGGCTAACCATTTCTGTCAGTGGACTGTATTGATCAATAGAGTTCTAGACAATATCTGGGAAATCAATTTCCCAAGCACTGTAAGAAGAAATCAAATCACATCTTTTACCTCATTTTTGCCAAATAAAACATTTTGCAAAAGCACTTCCTATATTTATTCAGGTTGAGGACAAACAGTGATTTCAGTTAATGTCTAAGGCAAGATTTAAGGATATTTCTTCCTGGAGGTTATTATTTTAAATGTCTGAATCAATTTCACAGTCTTCACAAGTAATATACTAAAAGATAAAATGGCCATCTGAAAGGGAAGGAGCACCAGACCCCTCGTAGAACAGTCAGACTATTCCAAGTAAGAAAATCCCCAATTATCATTAACACGAAGAGAAAATTAGGATACTTTACTTATAACCTTCTTTTTCTTTGAATCTAATCCATCAGTTCAATCTGTACCTCATCTCTCCACTTACCCTCAATAATTCTTATTTTCTAAAATTAGCTTCGAATGACAGTCCATAAATGTAACCAGTAGTTTAGAATATTTTCTTATAGAGATTATTTGTGCTTTAAAGATTAGTTTACCAAGCCAAAATAATATCTACCACTCAAGGTATAATAAACACGTTTGCAAGAAGGGATTTTATTCTGTCATAGGTATTCTAATAGCTCAAACAGTCTTGCTCTGAGGAAAAGAAAAAAATTCCTTTCTCCTTTGTAATTTCTTTTGCTCCACGAGTAAATGTGTGAATGTAAATCTCAACTATCAGTTAAAGTGAAGCCAGGTTTTAAACTGTGTGGAGAGATAGGGAGGCTCTTTTCTATTATATCAACTCTCTTCCTTCCAACTTTTCTTTGTATTTTATTTGTTTTTATTTGTCAGTCTTTTTAAATTTCTGTCACTAATTTGGTCAGGCATATCACCTTTAAAGTCTTTGCCTAAATTTCAGTATCTTACACACTCCCCCAGGTCAGTATATTCCAGGATCAAATCTTAATTAGTGCAACTTGGAAGTTTTCTCTCTCTCATGTTTTATACTTTCTGGACGAGAAGATACAACAAATAAATCAACAAATGAAAGAAAGCTGTCCTGAGTACGGCAATGCCAGGTCTCTATTCATGCCACACTTCCCATGCCACACTTCCAAGTCCCACAACGTCACTGCTTAGGCACAGTGATGGAAAACTTGAAACCGAGCTGTGAAAAAGACACAGCAGTATGACAGAATTTATTTTCCGTCTAAACACTGAATTAAATGAGTGCTACAGATTACCTGTCAAATTTCTGGTTCTTTTAGCAAGTAAATATAAACCTAAAGCAATTCCTAATTATATATTCTAGGCAAACAAAAAATAATCTATCCAATAGAGCTTCTATTTTTTTTCACTAATGACCAAATGAGAAGCAGAAATATAAAATTAATAAAATTAGACAGCAGGGTCAACTAGATTTAAAAAAAAAGGGGGGGTGAATATAAATAGCACTCTTACAGGGGTAAGGATTCCTTTATTTTGCTATCCAAAATTTCCTTGTACATCGCAGCTGACATCACCTCTTCCATGGGACACATGATGCCATATTCCTCACAGCCATTCTCTTGAACAAGAGGGTCCGTTTTATGTGGATCAAACATTATATTATTTGGTGTGACTAGCAGCACACCACTGACTGTGCCCTAAGATGAAAAAAGAAAATAATATTTAATCTTCAAAGTTCATAGCTTCACAAAGGATTCTCGCTATTTCTACTAATTTTTCCTGATTTTAGGCCATCTACTTTCGACATAGTACAGTCAAGAACTGTGCCAATCTCATGAAAACATTTTAAATGAAAATATGGCTTCCCAGTAAATGCTCTACTTTCGCAGAGACAGAATGCAAAGAAAGAACTTTATATTCTACCCAAATCAATCAAGTAAAGACTTAAAATTTACAAAGTAAAATAATGGTTTATATTAGGAAGAAAACTTGAGTAAGCTAAGAAGGGACTGCACAGTCTGCACTGCATGATGCCATGCTTTGCAGTAAATTGTAGACCATTTCCTGTGTTCTTCTACTACAGAAACCAAAATGGTTTTATGTACACAGTGAAGACTGTATGAAATCACGAATTAACAATTAAATCCATCACAAAAAGGTAAAATTTCTTTGAAATATTTTTAAAAATTAGTATTTTTATCTGAATCTTCTGCTACTCCTCAGCAATGGACCTTTGGCTTGCAAAGCTTTGGGGTACATTTCTTGAAGTGTAAAGTTGGGTAGATTAGACGATGTCTAAATTAAACAATTATTTTGAATTCTACTATAAAAATGTAAGACATTTTAAACAACTTTGTATAAATACTGACACAAATCTGCAAGAAGTTACTCCCTTTACAAATTAAGGTTTATAGACAGATGCTAGCACTAACATGCACTAGTTAGTATTTACTGCTTCCTGAGTATCACGCTGTGAATGCACCAGGGTTTATCTGATAGTCACAATTACAGACTTGAAACGGATGTAACAATTCTATTTTACAGGCAGGAAAACTAAAGTTCAGAGAGGTAAGCAATTTGTCCTAAAAAAACTAGGATGCAAAATCCGGGGAGTATGTTCTTTTTACCACACTCATTAGCATCCAAGTCACAAAATACATGCATGCCAAACCAAATGTAAAACACTCCTTACTCCCATTTTTAAATCTCTTTTATTCCACTACATTCTGTAAGTGTAAAAATTAAGAGCCTGACAGAAATCAGAAAATCAAACAATTACATCAATGTCATACTGCTTTTTTTCCTGAAAATATTAGAGAAAAAGAATATCTATTTTGTCTGATTTGGTATCACACCATTCTTCCAAGTTCAGTACCAGCAAAGTATCTGACTTTAACTTAAAGAAAATATAGCCCAAGTTATGGCAGATGGTATCTCCAAACATGACTAAGTCCAAAAACACTAAAAATAAAATATTAATAAATACAGTTTCCCAAGAACTAGTTTTTAAAAAGCTACCAAAGTAGTTATGTAAAGGTATAAAGGATTTATAGTAAAATGCATGTAATACTAAATAAAAATATATGTATGTGTATTTTGTTAAGGGAAATGATCTGAAATTCAACTAGGACTTCTTTTTTGTAAAACAAAAACTTAGGTCAGAGGACAACTTGTAGGAAGTTAGCTTTATTCTTCCAACAGGGGCCTTTATCCACTGAGTCATCTTATAAACACTCAAGTAGTACTTCTATTTCAGAAAATGGACCACCTAAATGATGAGTAAATACATAAACTGTAGCCTATTTAACTTTAAGGAGATTCATTCACACTAATTTATATACTTGAAGCACCTGTCAACTCCTAGTCAATTAGAAATGGTAATGTATGTTATGAGAATATTCACACTGCCAGGGATAATGTAAAAACTGGACAATCAAAGCTACAGTATATGCAAAGTAACAAAACTTTAAAGGGTTTTTAGGCTTTCTGTGCCTGTTATGTCCTCAATTTCTGTAAACTAAAGATTTTGAAAAATGAAACCAAGCAATTAGCTAAAAGTAAAGAAAGCACATTCCAGGTTCTTTCAGATTTTGTTAAGTTTTACTTGTAAGCACATTTTAATTGATTATTTTGTTTCCTAAGTTTTTTTGTTTCTTGGCAATACTGAGGATTGAACCTAGAACATCAGGCATGCAAGGCAAGTGCTCTACCACTGTGCTAACAGCTCTAGCCCTTAGCAGATGATGTGGTTTACCACATTAGCACATTTTTATCTTTCATTTTAGAATATTTTCACAAAGATAATTCTATATTGCTGAAAATCAACAAAAGACCCAGTGTTGTGATAATACTTTTAATTTTCCATATTCAGTAATATCACTGAAACATCTTCAGAATTGTTTCTACTTCTTGGATTAGAAAATTTATGAAACCCTAGTCACTGGATTAATCAACCTGCTTTAACTTTCTAGGATCCATCCTTATTTGCTATCACTAAAAGAATACACAGATGAGTTTATCAAGTTTCTTTTCCTTGGCTACATCACAAAGGTTTCCAAGTAGTCAGAGTTTTTGAGACAATTTGTAAAAGACTTGGCCATAAGAAATATTTTCTCAATATCAAATTCACAAAAACACATTGAGAAACCATTTCGTATGCATTCACTGAGATAAAGTCTAAAACCATAAGCTGTGTACAGATGCCCACTTTGTAAAGACAACCTAAAAGTAGAAAATGGTAAAAGAGAAGCCACATTAGCACCTCTCAACAGGAAGTGGAGATAGCTGCAGCAGTCTGCACCGCGGTACACTCCAGAGCAAAGACTACTAAGATTAACAACATTTTGGGGTTTTTTTGGTGATGACAATTCATTAAGACAACACAAGAATGCTAAACATTTTCAAACACAATAACACTTTAAAAATGCATAAAATATAAACTGAATAACATTTATAGTGAGATACTTCTACAACCTTCTGTCAATAACTTACAGAATCACCCAACTTGATTTAATGGACAGGGCAAAATATTCCACCCAATATCAGAATATATGTGCTTTGTTAATACATTTATTTATATATCCCATTAGCTTTAATAAGTGTCACAGATAAACAGACTGTAAATCATGAACAAATTCATAGTGACTCAAGCATAGTTACCAAAACCTTGTTAAAATATTAAGGATTTGTTGATGCTATTGACTCAAAATGAAAATGCCATATTTTGATAGTTTAGTAACAAATGAGGCAACATTTAAAAGTCTTCTCAAAGGGCTGGAGAGATGGCTTAATGTTTAACGGCACTGGCTACTCTTGCAGAGGACCTGGCTTTGGTTCCCAGCATCCACATGGCAGCTAACAACCATTCATAACTTCAGTTCCAGGGGATCTGATGCCCTTTTCTGGCCTCCATGGATTTGCACACATGTGGTGCGATTACATATATCCAAGCAAAACATTCATATACATAAAATTAAAATTAAAAAGAAACCTTCATAATGCGATTCATTACCTTGCCCCTTGTGATATATTTGCAATTAATTTTAAGAAATTTCTCAGTAAATGCTTCTTCTTCCTCAGAAGTTGAAGATACAACTCTTGCAGGTCGGATACCAGTAACAGTAGATGATGGAGTTGCTTCTTTTGGATGGAGTACTTCAGGAGTCTTAAAAACAAAACAAAACAAAACAAAAACACAAAAATGTATTTTAGGAAACCAGATAAAATATACACATTATTAAAGACAAATGAACAGCCTCCCCCAGTAAGTACTATTCTTTTTCCTTCTCACCATATTCTCAGCCTCAAAAATTCCTACCATGAATAATAGTGGTATTGTTTCCACGTTTAATAAAGATCTTAAAAACAATGAAAATTTTCATTTTAATAAGATGCATATATTTTACATATATATACACATTATACATAATAATCTGGAAAACATTAAAACCTACATAACATAGAACCCTCCTATACCTAATACACTAATCAGTTGCTTGTGAATTAACCCACGGTTTTGATAAGACCAGACAACATCCATCAGATGCAAGGAGCACAGGAGAATGAAGAAGAGCTTGCTAGCAACACCTAGTACATAGCAGGCAAGTAGTATATACTTATCAGAAGAGGAATTTATTTTTTCTATTGTTTTTTAAATTTTAGAATGGTTTTTCTTTTTGAAATTGTGTATACTATGCACATGTGTGTATATGTACATTTACATGTATGTAGAGTATTTGTGTGGGGGTACATTGCACATATGTGTGCACATATATGGAGGCCCAGAGTTGAAATCAGGAATCATTCTTGATTGCTCTTCCATCTTATTCATTGAGGCAGGGTCTCTCGGTCAAACCCAGAGCTCATCCATGTGTCTAGTTATGCTAGTCAGGTTACTCTGGTGATACTGTCTTTGCTTTCCCAGGCTGGAGTATAGGTTGGACACCATGCCCACAAGACATTTAAGAGGACAGTAAGATTTCTGGAGATCTGAACTGCAGTTCCCATACTTGGGTGGTAAGCATTTTAACCATGGAGCCATCTTCCCGCCCCAGAAGTGTACTGTAGCTTCAAACTCCCAAGAGTTCCTCAATGTCATTCTATGGAGCAATAGAAAAATCAGTTTAGTTTCTTAGCTGCTATGGGTCATTCTTGCAGTGCAACTCATGAATTTCTTCCCAGAATGTCACTCAATGGTTAAAATACAGACTTACAAACAAATGAAATTACATTGAAACACAATTATAGCAATATTCAAAATCCATACTGGAAGGCTGGCATGGTGGCACACACCTTTAATCTCAGCACTGGGAAGGCAGAGGTAGGTCAATCTTCGTGATTTTGAGGCCAGCCTGGTCTACACAGCAAGTTCTAAGCCAGTCAGTGCTATATTATGAGAATCAACCAACCAATGAACCAAACATAAACCAACAAAATAAACTGGAAACAAAGTGATAAATATACTAAATGATACATCTAGAAGTGACTCTGACAATTATGCTGAATATCATCACTGTTTAAAGGTTGTAAACAACATTAGGAATCTCTACAGCTCTGACATGCCCTGAAAATGTCTATGAGTTATACTGAGGTCAAAATCACACGTACACTTGATATTTCTTTATAATTTGCTGTATATAATTTAAGTTTTAAAAATTTTAGACTTTATTCAAAATATTTATATCCAAGTTCATAGACCCTTTATATGGTACCCATAAGTTCACCTTACAAAAGATATTCTGTACACTGTAGAAAGGACAGGCAAATGGCATTTAACCTGTCTGTTAAACACCTCCATAGAGGCACTCCACACCTTATGAATAAAGGACACCACCTCGCGTGGTGCTCATAATAGCAAGATTCTCCTAAGTTTTGAACTAAAATCTGCTACTGTGAACAAGACTGCCCTTCTCTTTGATCTCACAGACCTAGGTGTTTGAAAAGAAGTTTCCACTTTAACACAAATTTCTCCCCTAACAGATGATCTCCTTTAGCCTACAGGAGGGCAGAATTTTAGGTCTTCTTTCAAACATCCCTAATAAAACACAGGGCCCAGGTCTCTACTACTAGAATGGAGAATCAACAGATATTTGTTGAAGGAAGGATAGACTAACACAAAATATGGCAAAATTGTATTTAATATACTACAATTTTAGTTTTTGAAAAAAATTGAAATAGAGCTTACCAGTTATGGAGAATGTCAAATCATACCCATTAAAAAAATCTCCATAATCTTTCCATTTCTTCATGCTACTTAAAAACTTTACAGTCACTGGTAGTTATCATATCTAAGAGTTTTATATCACACATAAACATTCAGCACAGCTACTTAAAATAATATAGTGATATTAATAATAACTTCAATGACTATGACATCCAGCTCTGTTTAAACATGGGATGTGGACCATTTTAATTTTTTAACCCACATATGAGATATATACTCCAGCACTGGTTTTAAAAGAAACTTATGTTTTAGCCAAATTCCATACCTTGCAAACAAGATGACAGACTGAGATGTAAATCTAAGCTGCCAACAATGAACTAGTGAACATGGCTACAATAATATACATTTTCCCCTTCAAATCTTCCACCAAATGATGGATAAAACAACCCCCCCCCCAAAAAAAAAGCTGATCCAGAATCACTGGATGGTGCAAGATGGCAAAAGGCCAAATATTGTTCAGAGGCTTTCAATTACTCCATATCCAGCTTTTATCTACTACAAATACTACAGTCATAGAAAAAATTATAAGTACATTGTCAAATGCTTTTCTTAAATGAAGAGTTATCTTATTGAACAACATGATCTGAGGTTCCCTCAAAGTCTCAAATTCTACAACTCAGTATCTATAGCAATCCCAATTTTCAATGTAATCTCATTGAAAAGAATACGTGAATTAGCTTAGCAAATGCTTGAAGTATCGCACAAAAGACATTTTCTTTCAAAATGCATCAAGTTATTCAAAGGGATTATTATCAGTCCTCAATACAACTTACATAAATGTGCATTGTTCAAAATACCATTATCTGTATGTAGAGCTTGCTCAAGCTGACATAGATTCCTAATCATGATACAATGGTTTCAGAGTTTGTTAAATGGCTTTTGGAAAGTTTTCTGTCATTCTATTTTAGCTACCAGGGACAGAAAGGTCCTTAAACAGAAATAAAGCTATCTAGCTAGTTTCAGTATTGCGCCAAATATGCAAATGTTAAAAGCCCAGGGATTATAGTAACTGCCACTTTCTACTTCTTGCCTAGGTTTTTTGTGCTTGTGCTCTTTGGTGGTTGAAATGTGCAGAAATATTCTCTAGTAACACATAAGTTAAACAGAGAGTTTGAGGAAGAAAAGCCACTGCAGGCACAGAAACACGAACGTTAATATTTATGTCACAATATATATAAGCTATGTAATTTTAAAATATTTTCATGTGAAGCAATGTAAATTATATTCTTGATTTAGCTCAATAAAAGTATTTACCTCCAAGAAGTTGTATTTAACCATGTATTATAATTTACTTACATTCTACTTAGAACCAAGAAGTTGAGAAAGCTTATAATCAAGATGCAGAATGAAATGAGAAAAATGCAACTTGCTCTTTTAAGTGAAGAAAAATAAGTTACAGTTGTAAAGAATTAGTGTTGGTATTAGCTCTGGCTCTGAGCTTTTTATCACCAGACTAAAAGCAAGCAAAATCAATTTTTTTGAATTGCAATTACGGAATGATGCTCACATGCAGAAAACTGTCACTCAATCATTTATCCATTTGCAAATACAGGAATTTCTTCTCTATGAATAATGGGCTTCCTAGAATCTAAATACAAAGTATCACTGTAAAGTTCTATTTCATCACATTAATCATAATTTTTTTCAGAGAATTACAGCATAATCAATTTAAGTTGATTTTAAGATAAGTTGGAAAGCATCATAAATAATTTGCATTTATACATTTATGTTTATAAGCATTTGTTTAAATAATTTTGTAATATATAGGCTTTTATTCAATATAAAGTTGGTATGTTCAGAGATTCAGATTTAAGTTTAGAAGCACTGAAGTTAAAATTCTAATTTGTATTAATATGCATAAATCTATGGCAATGAATGCACCTGGTCTCAGATAATATCAATATTTATATTTTATACAATAATACATATTTTTGAAATGAATTACTGTTTTAATATTCAGCTTAAAAATAGAGAAACAAAAATGAGAAGTTCATGACATGAGGACAGCATATGTGAGAGCAAATTTCTCAAGTGTATGTGATATTTAGCCTTCTCAAACTGCTGCTGGTTCCAATGTTTTTAAATTCATGTCTATCTGCTATCACTTGCAATCAATGTTTACTTTCAAGTATATAGGTACATGACTTCAGGATGCCAATTAGCTAAGATTAGTATGACTAAAGGGAGTGATGTGCTTTGTAAGAACTCACACATTATCAAGCTTGTCCATATGGGTGAGAGGTAATTCATACTTTCATATGTATTGCCCATGTATGAATAAAGACAATTTCACTTGTTATTTTTAAAAACTCTTATTTGCCCATATAGGTCTTCTAAAGTTCCCTTTTCTTAAAAATAAGTGAGATTAAATTGTGTGGTACAAATTAAAGTTTATAAAATAAACTAATTTTCTTGAAATTTTATAGTAGTAGTTGATTGTGTCTCCCAAATGATGTACTGAAGTTTCAACTCCCATACCTGATAATGGGAACTTGATATGGAAACAGGTTTTTATAGAACTTATTAGTTAATAAGCAAAGGCCACTGTCTAGAACTTGTAATGCTAATTACTGTTGCCTTTACTTCTCCTTCGCATCTCCTATTCATGATTCAAGGACTTTCTTTTCTCCTTAGTGACAAGAGTCATGCAATTTGGGAGTCTTTTAGATAGACTCACTGAAGGGGTACTCCAATTGCCTCACCCTGCGTCCCTGTTCAGCATGGAAGAAGCTGGAGTGGTCTAAGTCCTGTTTCCCTAGTGGCAATTTGGGTAACCTCTTCAGAGGATGGTGTGATAAGAATAGGAGGTAGGAACTGGCTAGGGAGTTAGGGTGAAAAGACCCCAAAGGAAAGTAGCCAGTTTCTTTTCTAAAAGTCAAAATATCCTTGGGCCTCTTAACAACATACTCTGTTCTAAAGGCCAAATATGTTGAAAGCATTTG